GATAGAGAACCGCAGCCATATCATGAGTGACTTGCTGTCTTGTTCACTGAAGAAAAGATGACTGAATGTCTCCCACGTGCTGGGGCCAGGGCTGGGTGCTAAGGATATAGCATGGCTGAGAACACATTTCCTGCTCCCCATCTAGCGCCTCCAATCTAACACTGAAGTTCTTCCCTAAATGTCCTTCAAAGCTGTCATAGCATCATCTTTCTTTTTTTTTTTTCTTTTCTTTTTTTAAGCATCATCTTTCAATAAAAAGTAGTTGGTGAGGAAAGTAAGAGAAGAGAGGTGTTCCCCTCCTTCTGAGTAATGTTCATTCCCTCCTGGGATCAAAGCAACCTCCAGCTGGATCACATACATGTCAGAAGAAAAGCAAATGTAAATGTGGTAGTGACATTTCGGTCTTATAATGTCTTAGTTTCCTTTGAAGCAAAAACTGTTTTAAAAATCCATGATAAAAAAGAGGAAAAAAGTTAGGACTTGTTACTAATCTCACGGCTGAATAATTAAGTGTGCCTAATTCTGAAAGTAGCAAACGAAATTATGCAGTGCCAAAAGTGACAACTCTCATACCTACACCATCCCGTCTATAGCAGCGTGGTTTTAACTTTATAGCTAAAATACACTGCCAGAAAACCTAATAAAAGGAAGCAAAAATATTTCTGTTTATATCAAGCTGCCATTTGAGAAAGACTTTTAAATATGTTCTTCCCCATGTGTAAATCTGACAGCAGTTGCATAATTAAAACCCCAGTGGAGAGTTTCCTTTTAATCTTTTCAAAGTAAACCAGTAAAACATCCTTTAGGATGTAAAATGATGGATTAATACCCTTTGGATTGCTGGCTCGTCTTTGAACTAGAGCACTGCCTCCAAGAATATTATTTAGTGCTAAAAGAACACAAGCCACCATCTTTATCTGTAGGAGTTCATGTAATCACAGAAGATGCAGACAGTGATGTGCCAAAGGCCACACATGCATCTATGATGAGTTATGCTCATCTCAGATTTTGCTAAATGGAGGACTGAATTAAATGAATGCATTCACATTAAAACCAACTTGATTTCAACCCCTTAGGAATATGTCACATAGCATAAATGAAAGAAATAATAATTACCCAGGACTTCAATTCAGTGTGAGCAATCAATATGAATATTTTAGACCACAGGGTGTTTTTTTTTTTTTTAATTTTACTTGAGCTATTCAGGTTGAATTTCTATACAGCCTCAACTATGGCTGAACAATCACTAGCAAATTTTTCCTAGATCTGTACCATGTGGACACAAACGTGTCTATACAGTTACAAACTGCCTAGCTCTGAGTATAGGGTCTTGCACAAGCCAAATGTCTGGACAAATATTTCATCTTATTATGATGTTCTATCTAACCCTGAATATACATAGGCACATCTGAACTTTTCTTCTGTGTCATCCTCTAGCTGAAAGCCCATTCCTGCCCTTTCTTCCTCTTCCCGGCACACACACACAGTGGCAAAAGAAGGCAGAAAGCAAGTGGTTTCTGTCTTTGTACCATTCTGATAAACATCAGAATGTCTCCTACTTGCTAGCACCTCTGTCTCTGACCTTCTTTGTGTTGGCTCCTGCCTTCTCAGCTTAGACCTGCCAGATGCTTCTAGTCTGTCGGACCTCTAAGATATGTTTGATCCTTCAGGTTTTCTCTGGAATTAATCAGTTGTTGTCCTGACCAACAGACCAGTCCTCTTGCCCAGCCCTGACCTCCCATCAGACCCACATACACCCATACCCAATATTAAATACTTCAGTCTCAAACAAGGATGTGCCCACCAACAATGCACATGAAATTGGTAGACCAAACACTGCATAACATGGATTCTGGAGCCAGCTGAACGTATAATTAACTGTGACCTGAGATGAGTCCCTTAACACTCTGTACTACGTGAGATTAGACTAAAGGTCTCTCTTGTTCTATTCATCTTTAGTGAAAACAGCCAGGATATGCTGCCCATAAACCCTGTTGATACATCTGCTGGAATATGTTTTAACCTGTGTCTTGCAGGATAAGCTTTAACTTTTTCAAATGTAGCACTGGGCCTGACATACACAATGCAACAGATTTATAGGATATATAAAAGAAGGTTTTTACATACTAAAATCTAGATGAATTCATTTAGCAGGGTCCGCACAACACAAAAAAGCAATGTCCATACTGCTGCAAGGACCATATACACCATGATATTCACTGATCAGATAAAACTGAGTGCATGCTAATTTTCCTCTCCATTGGATGAAGTGGCAGGCAAAGAATCCTGACTGCCCGTCTTGGACTGAGCTTTGGCTCCCTGAACTGCTAAATCCATAAAAGCACCAATACTAATAATAATTGTCCCTGAAGACTCAGGGCATTTAAGGGAAAGAAACTATGTAAGCATAAGAGAAACTGACATATGTAGGTCTTTACTTAAATCTCAGTACATTTTGCAAGAACAGGCTGAAATGACAACCTTGTTACTTTGGGATTCAGCACAATTTATCTGACAGATAGGAGTGACCAATTTGAACCACTGCCCCAGACCACTAGAGCAAGTGGATAACTGACAGAGATCCTGCTACCCGCGAGGCTGTCTTGGCATCCCTGCAAAGGTCTGGTTTGATGCCAAGCTGTCCACAGGCTAGTTCTGGTCCCTGAGTGCGGCTCCCCTCAGAGATACATGTCTCCCTGCGGCAGATTTTGGAAACAGTATGCTGGGTCATTCGTAACACAGCCACATGCTTCAGTGTAGCCCTCCTACACTGCTTGCCTACATCTGAAAACACAAATCAAGAAAGAGAACATAGCTCCTTTCTGCTTGACTAAAGAACAGCCAATCCTGCCAATAGATTAAAGGCTGGGGCTTGTAACAATTTGCCAACAGACTTGATTTTGTGCAAAGACTGAGAGAAGCTTTAGAAACTGTGGCTGGGCAGTGAATGAAGAAATTTATGGGAGCTCATCAGAGAGGCACAGAGACAATATCATACAGGTCACTGGCATGGGGCCCCATTTGGGTGCACTCACTGCCTATAGGAAGAGGACACTACTAACCTTTCCCTTTGGCCTGTGGGTTCCATTAGAAAGCTAAAACCAGAGTGTGTAAGTGGGAGAGAAATGCTGCGGCCACCCAATATGTGCACAGGTGTGCCTCTAGGTGGAAAAAAGCAAAAGGGTCTGTTTACAAGAGTTAGAGCACAAATCAGTAATGAGCTATGAATGTATGATGTCATCCTCTAGGACTAAGCTTCCTTAGTACTTTTAAAGCACTTAAAAAAAACTCTAGTTGCTATAGCAACTTGATGCAGCTCTTAAAAGGGTTTGTTGTTTTTTTTTTTTTTTTTGAGGGGGTCATTTTATATCTTCAATCACCATAACAACATGATATAGCTTTTAAAGGGTATTTTTATCCAATTTGTGTGTGCTTTGGGCTTGGGCCATATTTGCCTTTTCTACTTAAAATAATCAGATCAAGCATGACACACGAAAAATCATTGAAGGAAAGGAAGCCCTTTCGTAGACTATACATATACACTCAGAGAGACATCTCTAGCTGCTCATATCCTGCACATGGATGAAGTCTTTCTCTGTCTCCCAGCAGCCATCAGGAATGGCTTACACTGGCCAGTGAGTTTGTGCCCATCTCTGAGCTGGCACACCAAACTAGCCCAGAGAACTACGGACAGAAGGTGTGTCCGTACAGTCCCTCATTTCTCAGCCCAGTGAATCCAGCCCCCTCCTCTGAAACTACCACCAGGAGACAGTACCTTGGAGTGACTAGTGATACAGCTAAATGCCTTCTCCCACCCTGGGACTCAAAGCAGGAGCAGATGGGACATACACAAAATCTCACCAAAGTGGAAATCCTGTATTTATTGCGCACTCTGTAGTAACTGGGGAGGAGGTCTGTTTCACATGACACCCAGGATCCAGGGAAAGGGGGGAGGGAGGATGGGGAAAGTGGGTGACAAAAGAAGAAACGGAAGGGGTGGAGCGCAGAGCAGTAAGCGGCTCCAGGATCTCTACAGGAGAGGCTCAGAGGGAGAGGGTCAAAGTGGGAGAAGTGGGGGGCTTATTAATGGAGTATTTACATTGCATATTTTGTACGGTTGTGAAACCGTGAACTGTTTATGTCAAAAATAAGGAAAAGGGCTGGTAAAATGTATAGAGAAACCTCTCCTTCCGCCACCCCACCCAGCAGCCCTTCCCTTGGTGGAGAAGATGGCAGGGTGACAACAGAGGTCAAGAAAGTGGAGAAGTTGGGAAGGGGGTGGAGGAAGAAGGGCAAGAAAACCAAGGGAGTGGAGAGAATAAGAGCGAAGTCCCGGCTTCCAAGTGTAACGGGCTTGGGGGGAGGGGAAGGTGCGGTGTAGAAGCGGGTGGGAAGGAGATCAGGACAGTGGTCGCCCTCCCCAGGGTAAAGGGCTAGAGGGTACTGAAGGAAAACGCCTGGTAAAGTAAGAGAGGAGGAGGGAGAGGTAAAAACCCTGTGTGTTGGGGAGGGGAGCGGGGGTGGCTTCCCGCATCCTCTGCATGAGCAGACAGGCTCGGGGGGCGCGAGAAATCGGAAGGACACAGCAGGCCCTGGACGCTTTTGCTCACAAGTCCTTTTAGAGGAGAAAACAGGCGCGCAGAGGTCAAGTCACAGGAGCGCGGGAGCGCGGGCGGCCCGGGTCGGCCCAGCGCGGGGCTGAGGGTTCTCCCCACTGGGCAGCCCTGCCTGGCGAGTCCCCGCTGGGTGAGCGCCAGCGACGCGCCCCTCGGGCCGCTGCCCGCGCCGAGAGAGCCGGTTAGGAAGGGGCAGGGTCGGGAGGGGCGCGCGGGCGGGGAGGCGAGGGGAGGGGAGGGGAGGGGAGGGCGGGCCGCGAGCCGGCAGCGGGTGTCGGAGGCCAGGGGGAGCCGGGGACGCGGCCCGGCCTCGGAGCGGGAGCGGCGGAGAGGGCGGCAGGTGCCAGGCGCGGGGAGGAAAGGCGCGCGGGGCGCGCCGCTCACCTATGGTCGACACCACGGTGCCCACGAAGTAGAAGGCGCCGGGGAAGTCCCAGCGCGGGCGCAGCGCGTCGGCCCGGACGCCGGCGGCCAGCGCGGCCTCGTAGTGCCGGAGGAAGGCGCGCAGCTCCGGCTCCGCCACGCCGTGCGCCGCGCTGAAGTTGCGCAGCGTGTCGCCCCAGCGCGCCCGCGCCTCCGCCTCGCCCGGGCTCTCGAGCGCCGAGAAGACGGTGGCGCCCGCCACCAGGTAGAGGCCGATGAGCGCCGCCAGCAGCACGAAGCGGCCCGTGTCCTCGTTGAGGTGCGAGCGGCGGCAGCAGCAGCAGCAGCAGGAGGGGCGCGGCAGGCGGCGGCGGCAGCGGCGGGGCGGGGGCCGGGGGCTGCGGGAGGACATGGTCCGGAGCTCAGCCCCGGGGCCGGGGCGGCGCTCGAGGCCCGGGCCGCGACATCGCCCCCGCGGGAGCAGAAGCGTGAGGATGGTGGCCGGGGGTCGGGGCCGCCGCGGAGCCCCTTGCCGCCTGCCCCGGAGCCCGGACGGCGGGGCGCCTCGCCGCCTCCTCCGCCGCCGCCTCCGCCGCCGCCGCCTCCTCCGCCGCCGCCTCCTCCTCCGCCGCCGCCGCCGCCGCCGCGCCGCCGCCTCCTCGGCGCTCAGGCCGCACACGGGTCCCGCGGCCCTTCGGGCGCCCGGGCTGGGACGCTCCGCTCCGCGCCCCGACGCCTCGCCGGCTCCCGCGGTTCCTCACCCGCCCCCCGCGGGCGCAGGGGTCTGAAGCGAGGCCCCTGCCGCCCTGTGGCCGGCGTCCGCGGGGCCCCGGGCCTCATACTCCTCCCCAGGCAGGCCGCGGGCCGCGGGCGGGGCGGGCTCCGGAGCCGGGGAGCCTGGACTGGGACGCCGCAGGAGGGCACGGAGAGAGCCCCCGGGGGCGTCCCATGAGGCGCCCCGCTCGGCGGCTCCGGGCGCGGGCTGCGCGGGCTGCGCGGGCTGCGCGGGCTGCGCGGGCAGGCGGCTCCCACCCCCGGGCCTGGGCTGGCGGCGTCGGCTTCGGAGCCTCAGAAGCGAGCCGAGTCCCGGGAAGCGCTCCCTTTCCAGCTCCAGCCGGAGAGCCGCGCGGCACGGAGAGGCGGAGTCACCGGCGCCCGGGGCGGGGTGTTGGGGGGGGGGGAGATGAGGACGGAAAGAAAGGGGTGGGGAGTTGGGCTGCTGCGACGCCTCCCGGCCGTTCCCGCGGCGCTAACTGCGGGCGCCGGAGCAGGTGTCCGGGTGCGGTGGGGAGCCCTGCCCGCCCCGCCGGGCTTCGGCGCCGGAGCCCCTTCCTTATCTCCAGGCCGCCGCCAAACTTTGCTCAACTTGCTGTGCTCTGCGGTCCCGGGGGCTGGGGGCCGCCCGGCGCGAATCCTCCAGCTGCCGGCTCTGGGCTGCAGCCCGAAGTTGAAGTTCCCTCCTGCCCGCTGCTTCTTCCTGGATCCTTCCGCGGCGCTAGGTCCCCGGCGGTTCCTTTGGGGGAAAGGATCCCGCCCGGGAAGGAATGGCGGTGGGGCCACTCGGCTCCGGGCGACCTGGGAAGGAGGGCGTCTCCTCGGCTCCCGCCCGGGCGGCGGCCGGCGTCAGCACCGCGGACAGCGCATCGGTGCGGCAGTGGGGGCGGGCGGCGGGCGGCGGGCGGCGGGCGGCGCGAGCTGCGGGGCCCGCAGGCGGGGCGAGGCCGCCAGCCCGCCGCGCTGCTCCCCAGACCTGCCTCCCTTTCTCCTTCCCCTTGGCCCCCCTCCCGAGTCGGCGGCAGGTGCAGCCACCCAGCAGCGCGCTGACAGGGCGAGGACGCTGCGGAACAGAGACAGGGGAGGAGTCAAGCGCAAGTAGGGGATCGAGGTGCCCCCGGAGGAGGAGGCGGCGCCCAGACCCACCCTGCCGCTGCTACCTCTTCTTTCGCCACCCCGGCTCCCTGACTTCTGCAGCCCGGGGTGGGGGAGCCTGGATAGGAACCCGGCTGCCGCAGGGTGGGTCAGCGAGGTGCAGGGGCAGCTCGCCAGCGGGCTCTCCCGAGGCGGGCGTGGGGGGCGGAGGAAAGGGTGTGCTCTTGGGAGCGGCGGGGGCGGGCAATCGTCGCCCCTCGGTCCTGCGACCGGCCGGGAAGCCGCGGGTGCTCTGCGCGACTGTGGGAGCTCCTCCTCGAAACACAGTCCGGTCTTGTTGGCCTGGGTCACAAAGTTCTATTGTAAGGAACGCCCTCGCCCTCGGTATGGACGGAAAACCATCCTCTTCGGGCAGCCAGCCCTTCTGTTTCCCACCTTCCCATGATGATGATGATGAGACTACGCAGGTAACAGAAAATAAAAACAGTGATGGTGACTGTGTTTAGACACGCTAGGTGGGCGAACTGTGGCAAAATGCAGAGCTATCTCCCCGCCCCATTTCGCAGCCTGTCCGGCAACCACAATAGAAAACACTCAAGCTAAGGTCGACCTAAAGTAGTGGCAGCATCATCTGTCCCCTAAGGGTCAGGGTGCTCAAAGTGGTTCCGAAAAGAGCCTCCACTACTCACTGAGCATTTCCCAGCTTAGAAACTAGGTACCTCTGACCCCATGCCCCCACATGGAGACTGGGGGTGGGTGGGAAACAGGAGAAAGTTAAAAGGCATCTGATTTGGGGCATTGATTTTCTTAAATGAGGTACACTGGAGACTTGGATCTTTCTAGAAATGCTGTTCCAGTTTGCAGATAGAGCGAACTGCACTCCCCTGTGTGTAAGGAAGGGATAAACAAGAAGAGACTCCACCACCATAGTCAGAACTAGGATTTCTGGCTATGGGTGGCATATATCAAGTTTCGTAGTGATCTTCTTAGAAAGGGGCAGGGGAACCTTTGCCTGAGGAAGAGAATATCTCATTCATCATGGGAGCCTTAAACAACACAAATTATTCCCATTGTAGACTATCGCTATTATTTGCAAAATGCACTTCAGTTACACTCTCTCCGAGTCTTTGCCTCTCTTCAGCTCTCCAGCAGTGTTTCCCCAACTTCTCTCTTCCCTACAATACCCCCATCTCTTTGAGTTCCTGCAGCCAGGGGGACAACCCAGCCATGGACCTTTGGAGCTGGATTCTACTTGACTGGTCAGCCCTGACAGAAACCCTGAGAAGTGTCACCCCAGGAGTTGGCGTGGGAAGCCTCCGGATGCAGCTGAAGGGCATTGCCAGGCCTCTCGGTGGCTTTCTTTGCCCAGACTCCCAAGGCAGGGACAGAGCGCTTTGCTGCAGTGTTCTGTGCCTCTGGACCAGTTCCTTGCCCAGTTGGCAGAGGGCCTGCCTTGTCCTCCAGCTTGTTATTCTAGCTTGATTAGCAGCAACCCCCTGGCATCAATCTCAACTCTGAATGATCTAATCAATTTATATAATAGGAAAATGATGAGTTCCCTGCACAGAGGCACGGAGTCCTTTGGGGGCCCAGCCCCATGACGAATGCCACTTTTGCTCACTGAATCAATATTTAAGTCACTGATTTCCAGCTGGCTATCTTCAAAGCCTTTACCTTGGCCCTGAATTGCTGCAAGAGCCTCCTAGGGATGAAGGCTTGCTATCTCAGATGTCTCCCTTTATAGCTCCATTGCCAGCATCTGCCACTCATTGCTGTGATCATGCCATTTGATCTGATCATGTGACTAATGTCCCTGGATCGCAGTCTTCCGTGGCTCCCCCAAGGCGTGTTTATTTTTGGGTGGAGGATTTCACACGGGGACTGCCTGGCTTTTACCGGGAGGTGGGGTGGCCCAGTATTGGTGGGTGCCGAATCGGCTCCCTTGGCCCTGCTTATCGGCCGTAGCATCTGCACGGGGACTGTGCGTTGGCCCCTGCGGGAAGGGACAGGGGCCGGCGCCTCCGCCTGAGATTCATTTAGATGAGCTCAAAGCTCAGTGGTAGTTAACGTGTGGACAGGTCGAAAATACTTTGCCGTTGGTGGGTGCGCGGACCCACGAGCACGTGGAGGACAGCTTGGCGAAGCCGAGTTCTGGGGAGGTTGCGTGTGCCGGGTGTAAAGGCTGGAGTAGTGTACGGTCCTGGGTATGGGCGGGGGAGGATAAGCTGGTGCATGGCAGCGAGGGGTGTAGATTAGGTTTTCTGGGGGCTGGTGCAGTGGTTTACACTGGGGTTTTGGTGGGTAGGCTTGGATTTGGCTTAATTGGAGGATTGCTGGCGTAAAAGTCGTGTGTCACTTGGTGGATGGGTTGAGTGTGAAGAACTATTTTGAGGGGCTGGTTGGGGATGTGTGTGTGGTGATTGTTATGAATATTTTTTTTGGGGTTTATGAACAATGATTGGGATGTTGGTGGAATTGCTTAGGTTGGTTGGGTGTTTGGAATATGGTATTGTTGTGCCGGTAACTTTGTTAATATAGGTAATCTTGTTTGTTGGTTGGTGGTGACTGGACAGGGGTGTGTGCTACTTGGAAGGGAAGATGGATTTGGAATTGTCTGGGGGTAAGAAGCTTGGATTATTTTGATGGGATCAGGGGGGGGGTGGGTGAGGGATGGGGGTTGTTTGTATATGGGCATGTTGTGGTTTTGAACTATTATGTGGGTTTGTTCAGGTGGGGGGGAGGGTGGAAGGTGGTTGGGTGGCTGTTTAGTTTGGGTAGGAGTTGGGGGTGGGTTGGGGGGGGGCGGGGTGACGGGGTGTTATTGTGGAGTTTAGGGGGGCTAGGTTTGTGTAATGGTGCGGGGTTTTGTGATATTTTGCGGCTTTTTGTGGGTGTGGGGTTTGGTGGGTTGGGGTGGTGTGGGGTTGTCTGACGCATTGTATGCGTAGTTTTTGTCTTTGTCATCGAGATTGTGGGCTTGGTGGTTTGGATTTAAAAAAATAAAAAAAGGAATAGAAAATAATTTATCCCAAGGAAAATAATTTCTTTAAAATAAAAAAGATAGGAGTGCCAATGTGGCTCAATCAGTTAAGCATCTGCCTTCAGCTCAGACTACAATCTCAGGATCCTGGAATCAAGCCCCACATGGGGCTCCCTGCTCAGCAGGGAGTCTGCTTCCCCTCTCCCTCTCCCTCTTCCTTCCCCCGCTGCTTGTGCTCTCTCTTGCTATCTCTCTCACAAATAAATAAATAAAATCTTTAAAACAAAATAAATAGGAAAAATTGGGGAAAGTTTAACTATGCTACAGAGAAAATTGATTATGAAATTAACTTGAATAAAATAAGTTTGCTCCAGAAAATACTTTCTCTTAAAAATTAATCTGTGTTGCTAAAATTCTCATGAAAAATTCTGCATTCCAAGTAGCAAATTCAGAATGTGCTGGGTGCCTCCAAATCTCTTTGATCTTCATGATCTCAGAACTTCTCTATTATTTATTACTCATTGGCAATTAGTTGTATAACAAGATGTGTGTGTGTGTGTGTGTGTGTGTGTGTGTGTATTTAATAAATTCTGGATCTGGAGAAGGTGATCATCTCTATCATGTGAAGGGTCACTTGAGTTGTACAGTTGCAGAAACCCTCCTCCTCTTATCCTTCCAGAATTAG